GGAGATCAGATATAAACGAGCCCAAGCGTTAAACAGCGAATCAGAGGCCTTTGTAAGCGTTGAGGTGAGGATATGCTTTGACAGTGGCAGGTGTCAAGTCTTAGTGGGAATAACAAAACCACATCTGCTGGGATTTGCTACCCACAGCCATTAGGTGGAAAAACATCTTCTTTCGGCTCTGTTAAAAACGCCTTTTTGCCGGATGCACAGACCACCAACGCCACAGCAGATGCTTTTCAAACAGCAATTATGACAAAAGGCGGGAGCGAGAACGAAGAGCCTCTTTTGTTCTCCTCTTAATCCGATCATTTGTTGTCGTTTCATTCGGAGCTATTGGATTCCGCGTTTGATTCTGTCAGAGGGCTGCGTTTCCGAACGATATTATCCACGCTCAAATAAAGGTCCCCCTGTCACTCACGCAGCGTGCAGGGAATCCAGAAATGTGCCGCCCTCATCAAAGAGGGAGAAAGTTATTGAGGATTCGCTGATTTTGACATTTTTCTCCAGATCAAAGCACTTTTTTAGGCGCTCGTCCAGGTGGCGACTGATTCTTAAATGCCCCATATATGCCACTGAGCCATTCTGGCTCACGTTTGGCAAAGTTGAGTGTCACTGACCGGAATCTGTTGGGCGAAATTTCCTTTAAAGTTTCCAAACGTGTATCCAGGATTGGAATTTCAGATTTTTCCTAAAAGCGATTACATTTTCCCATTAACTGTGACTGAAGGGGTGGAATCGAACAGGTTATTTGCTGTGATCAGCTCCTTTTTTCTTTTTATCTGGCTTTACTGTAATACACTGTTAATGACATGGGCTTAATTGGATCGAGCTTGTTTACTCTGTCCGTATCGCGCCCTGTGATGGCTTTCATGCGGTGATTTGCTGACATATAGATAAACCAAATGGAACAGATTCGGGTGAATTGAATTGTGGCCCCGAATGAATTAGAACGTGCCCTTTCCTCCGGTGAGGACAGACAGTTTCAGCGGCATTGGGATGAACAGTTTATGCCTCTGTGTGTATGAGCTGCACCAAATTTGAAGTGGATTTGTAGACACAGGAGAGATGTAAAAGAACCTGTTACCTCGAGGAGGCATTGATTCACAGGGCTCAGCTGTCTGGATGATGCTTTCATTTGATTCTGAGCCATTCATTGAATACCAGCTGTTGGAATTGTCATGAGAGAAAGACCGTTCTCCTACAGGGTAACCAATGGAAAGCGTCAAGGTAGGAAAAACGACGATTCTGCCCTTAAAGTGTTTTCTAAATGTGGCCCAGCTGCACATGTGGAGCAAAGTGCTCACGGTTAAAGTGAAATCTCACACTTATTAATCATGCAAATCCACGGAGTCCTGTACCTTCTGCTGTGGGAAACATGGGAACAAGAGAGAGAACTTCTTATAACTTTAGCTGTTACTGTAGGGACTTTGGGCAGATCACTACAATACTAATGTGGAAAAGCCTTTACCATAAAGATATCAATACAAAACTGAAGTTTAACTAATGTATTTGAAACAAACCAACCCCCCCTACGCCAACCTCCCAATGAATTACCTTTGACTCAATTATGACAGAATTGACATTAGCGATCACAGTACAGAGGAACATTTTTCTTCAGAAACGTATTTAATCTTTGGACATACTCTAGCTTTGGGGTTGTGAGGTGATGTGTTGATTTGATTTGCAGTGTGTCCTAAAAGCAGAAAGTTTTCCTGGTTCAAATCCCACCCTGTTATGGAGTGGGGAAGGGTTGTTGCCTCCTGGGAACACCGAAACTTCAGGAAAACTTGGGTTCATCCTATGGGACAATCGCTGAGCTGGAAAAAATACCAAACCAAAGTGGAGAAACTAGAGCTGAGGAAGAGAACTCACACAGATCTGAAACGTGGACGAAAGGGCACCAGAAGTGAGACACACAGAGAGGAGAGGTAGCAAGGAGCGGGCGAGGAAGATAGGAGCGAAGGGAGGGGCCATGGATGCAGGACCCGTGAACCTGGGCGAGTGAGAGTGAAACAGAGAGGCTTAAGTAGGGAGAGTGATCAGTGGAATGAAAAGCGGGCGAGAGACAGAGAACAAAGGCGTAAAGTCAATGAGGAGAACCAGCAGGAGCCCAAGGAAGGTGAAGGTGGCAGAGTTTTAGTCAGACGGAATAAGACACAGGAAGCCGAGTCGGGAAACCGAACTTAAAAGACTAACAAGATCAAAACACATGGAAAAACAAGGAAGAAACTACATATAATAGATTGCAAAATAACCAAACCAAAGTCCAAAACCCAAAGATGTGACCCTTTCTGTGTATGCATGGGCTCTCTTTGGGTCCAAAAACATGCACGAGATTAGCAATAGCCCCTCCCCCAACCCTGAATTGGTTTAAACGAGTTTACAAAATGGATGGATGGATATTGATTTTTTTCAGGCTCATTTTAGAGCAAGTGAGTACGCTTTGAGGTTTAAAGTTACAAATCCCAGCGAGCTCGTGAACAGTTTTGGCTGAATAAGATCTGCTCATTTATAAGCCTGCGCTCGGTAGAAATATCATTCCCATCAAAATCGAACCCATTTTCAGCTTTCAGCGCATTGAACTGCACGTTCTTGTCTCATCAGTTCATAAACAGTGGGATTATCATCCGTACATTTATACCACTTCTTACCGGTAGATAAATACTACATCTAAATCTTATAATGCATTAAAAACATACTTATTAAAACTGGTATAATATTTACTCGGGGAGGAGCATGATTCCTATCCAGTAGAGCCATGATAAGAAGCCTGGAAATAAATACCCCAGAGTTACTGGTAAAAGGAAGAAATGCTTCCACCGTATTAGAAAAACAAATGGCACCGTGTTGTGTTTTATGCATTATGCATGCATTTAATCAGTTTGCTTTAAAGAGGATGCGACCGTTCCACCATGTATTCAGTTTCTGAAGGAAAAAGTTTGTTTGGAGACTTAAAGTTGGATCACCTTCAGCGAACACAGAACTGCTATGGATTTCTGCAGCTTGTCTTACGTGCAACAAAATATCAGTGATCGAACCACCGGTGGAAACAGGGTTTGGTGTCCTTGCAAACCACCAAGACTCTCAGAAGAAAGTCGTTTGGGCTTTAAGTCATTGCCTCCATTAACCAGAACCCATTGCAACTTGCCAACAGGGACGGCTTGTTGGTTTTTAAGACGTGTGACATCCCTGTGTTGCTTTTGTTTCTACAAAACAGTTGAATTATTCAGGCATACATTTGTAAGATGACGCAAACTTCTTTTTATAGGAAAATAAACAAAACATCTATATTAGTTTGGTCAGTCTTGAATTTTTAATGGACACGCCTCAAACTCTCAGATTGCAGATGAGGTCAGAGGACCCCGTCACCGAAAATAGAACAAGGAGGTGAGAGCAGCCTCCTCGGTGTCACCAAATCCGTCTACAGAGAAGATCAAACGCCCAGCAGAGCTCACGCGTCACTGAGAAAAACGGTTCCCCCACTGACTCGCAAGAATCCCAAATGCAGAAAGGGTGCATCCGGATGCAGATTGAAGAAAACAATACACTTTTTGCTTGAGAATCAGCTCAGATCAAACAGAAGCACCAGTCGGTCGTTGTAAAGCCGTGTTGACCCTGTAATATTGCGTCAAACAGAACTAACAGAAGCCCTGAGCTAATCGGCCTGTGAAGGGAAAGCAACATGAGCTCCATGATGGAGAGCAAACACATCAGACTCAGAGCAGAGAGTGTAAGCAGGCGGAAAAACAACTCATCTTCTTAGCAGAGGAAAAACCTGCTTCCATATCGTTCTTGCTCTCTATCACCTCTCCTTTATTATTATTCCCCCCAATCCTTTTTTATGACTACCCATCATGGCAAGTTGTCAGGGAAAGATCTTCTTTGAGGAGCGCTCCGATCAGGTCCCCCTTCATTGCCGCTGAAAATCAATATGCCCTACCGGCAGCCCCATGGATCATAATGGCCTCAAAACAAATAGCGAGGAGGAATGAAAAGGCCAGGGTTTGGCATGAATGCCGAGCGTCAGGCTCCCACCGCCTGCCTTTTGAAATGACGGGGACGCGGAGATATCAAGCGAGTGTTTGGGGAAAGATAAGGAAGCTCCTTAACGTTCCTTTGTTTATTTTACGCCGGACGGCCCCCGGTCGGAGACACTTCAGGTGGCGCCACCGTTGCTGATTTACAGCAGCCTGGAACTGCTTCAGGTCCTGATGTATGGGCTGAGGGACATTAGGTGTTGTTCCGACCTTACCGCGCGTCTGTCTCGGGCAATTGTCCTTTGAAAACTATATCCTGCCCCGCGCCTCGGATTTGAGAGGGAGCGCCTTCTCCTTTAGCTCTGGCGGAAGGACGAGCGTGTGGACACAGAGCACGCCGTCTGGTCTTTTGTTGAACTTCAGTCTCTTCACGGCACAACACAGGTCGCCTCACGGTGTGCGTCTTTGGCTCGTGCTGTGTGGGCTGTGAATTGCTCATTAACTCATTGGCTGCCAAAGACGTCTATAGACGTCTTTTATGTTTTTCAACGAGAGTGGCTGGGGGACGATCTGCTAAAGCTTGTCCGTAAATATCAGGCTTCTAGACAGAGTATGTACTAACAAATTGACCCTCTAGGTGGCAGTGCCACTTTTGATGGGAGATGAGCATAGACTGTAGGAAAATAAGAAAAAGGTAACGGTTCGCTATGAGAGAACATGTCGCCTGTGAGACGCAAGTCGAAGAAGAACGAAATAAGGTAGAAACAAAAAAATTTTCCTGATGAAAGAAGAGATTCTACTCTTTCTTTTGGTGTGTTCGGTGTTTACATAGTCATAGCACAAACTATTCTGTGGCTCTTGAAAAATCGGTCAAAATGCTCAAAAAACTCTGGCAGTATGGGACTCTCTGTTCTGAAAATGGCTGGCAGTCAATGAGTTAATCGTGTTTGTGTTCCCATGTCCACTGTAGGCATTGTGTCCTTGATCTCCCTGGCCATCCTCTCGTACGAACGCTACGTCACCATGATGACCCCCACCGAGGCCGACTCCTCCAATTACCGCAAGATCTCCCTGGGCATCGTGTGGTCCTGGGTGTACTCGCTGGCGTGGACCCTGCCGCCGCTCTTCGGGTGGAGCCACTACGGTCCGGAGGGCCCGGGCACCACCTGCTCGGTGGACTGGACGGCCAAGACCGCAAACAACGTCTCGTACATCATCTGCCTGTTCATCTTCTGCCTCATCGTGCCCTTCCTGGTGATTATCTTCTGCTACGGGAAACTTCTGTACGCCATCAAACAGGTGAGGGGATGGAGGACTTCAGCTGGGCTTGTGCATGGAGGCCTGAGGGTTCTGTTCACCTCAGCAGTCAATCCAAATATTCAAGTCTCACACCGAAACCCAAATATTCCCAAAGCTTTGATTAATTCAGCGAGGAAGCGATCAAGACCATTAAAAGTAATGCTGTTTTAATCCGTTCTAGTCACCATTTTATTACAAATCAGTTAAACAAAGTATGTGTGAAAAATTTTGCTCATTTAAAGGGACATAATAAAAAAGATTCTCCAACTACTTGGGTTATTTCTCCTGTGAGCTTGTTAAATTTTGATTGTGGTGGATTGTCTACCTGCTCTCAATAAACAGGCAGTTTTTTTTTTTTCGAAATAAGCCACAAATCCTACTATAAGCTACACAGTAGTAGAGTACACAGCTTACAGGCAGACAGACACAGTTAGCTTCTGGCTAACATGCAAAAATGAGATACTAACAAGCACAAAGCACAAAATCAGATGCTTAAACAGTGAGAGCTGCATTCATTGGTGATCTTGCATCAGAATCAATTTATGCTAATTACATAGACGTATTCAATCTGAGGAAAATGCTTTTTACTCGTAAAAACTTTGTTTTTTTTCCCATACGACCCGATCATAGTTAATGCAAAGTCTGTCACATCCCTAACGTCTGTAGATCTTTTATGACAAAAAAAAGATTTTTTTTTTTTTTCAAAAACAGGATCCAACTTGTGGGAATGCAATCATAACCTGACTGCAAACTGATGCAGCTGATTGAGAATCTGATAGCAGGCCAATAAAACTAAATTCTATCAAAGCTTCCTGATACCTGGTGTGGCTGTAAATCTCTCAGCAGTATGGAAAAAAAGGTCAAAACTCCAATTTCAGCCCCTGCCATGTAAACAACAAAATAGATGGTGCTATTGTCTGTGCTGGGATGCTTGTTATCGGAGTGTTATCAAAGTGGATCAGAATCCGCGTCTATGGTTTGAGTAGGTTATTTTCTAATGGAAAACATAGATGAAGTCAATAAAAACCGAATGTGCTGCCCAGTTGCAGCTTGCATGCTTGAAAGGCTCAGACTTTTTCAATAAGGAAATCAACTAAATGAAAAAGATGCTGTGTCATTATTATTTATTCAAATAACAATCAAAGACTATTTGGCCTTTTCACAGCTTTATTTAACACAGGAAACTTACATTTTTGTGTTAAATTTCTTGTCTCTCGAGTGTCAAAGCCAGTCAGAATCAGAAGAATATTTGCCATCAAAACTGTACATCCATACAAATAATGGTAGATTTACGCATGTATCCGAATGACCAATTAAAAAACAAACAAAAATCAACCCCCCCCCCCAAAAAAACAAAACAAAAACAAATGTTACATGTCTTTTCGAAACAGTTCAGGCAGTGCATATTCTACCTAAAGCTTATTATCACACCCTCAGCCACACACTGTAAACACATCAGTTCAATTTAGTCCCAGTCAACAGGTTGTAATTTGCAGCCTAACAAGCAAATCCTTCTAAACCGCAGACGGCTTTAATTGCATTGTAAGAGAGTGCGACAGTGATCCCTTAAATCAGCCCGGCACGGCTGGCGGCATTACTACAGTGTTCGAATAGCGTTTTAAAAAGCCAAAGTGTTTCATGCAAGGTGCTGCCCTAATGAAAACAAATGCAATCCCTCCTCTGCTGGAAGTCGTCAGCGTATTTCCTCTAATGTGTGAGTTCCCCCCTACATCACTAAGAGAAGTAGTCATCCCTCTTAATTGGGAATGTTTTTAATCTCATGTTGAAATCCGGTTACCAGTGAATCGTTTCGACATTTCTTTTTTCCGATTTGCTACTCCCCCTATTTTATCAGCTTGGAAGTATGACACAAGGTGACCATTTCTTTGTTTTTTTCACACTCTGTGAGTCTGACCGAGGGGAAGGATATGGTAAATGGACTGCACTTATGCAGCACTTTTCTAGTCCAGCCGACACCTCTGAGAGCACTTTTACAGCACGCTTTCGCGGGCGGAGTTTTTTTCTCCACCATGCACACATAAACTGTAAACAAATGGTAGCTGTCTTGTCCAAGGATGCTTCAAAACTCAGACCGTTAACTCTCCAACCATCCTCCTATATGAGCAGGGGGACATTAAATGCTGTGTTTTTCTAACTACCATCACAAACAAATTTTGCACTTGCACAATAATCAATAGCAGCTCCCATTTTAACGGTTTCTTTAACCTCTAGTTTAGATTACGACTTTCTTGAACTCTATATTTATCAGTCTTTCTTAGGAAAATAATGAGTTGTGGGTGTGTGTGAGAGAGAAAGAGAGAAAGAGCATGTATATTCTCTTTCTGCTTTGATAAACTGTGCACCCTGATATGTGACACTGACATACCAGTGAGGGGCGATGAATAACAATTCATCTAATAACAGGCACAACATTTTGTACACTTTGTTCTTCCTCTTTTGTCTTTCGACCGCCTTATCTATGCCTGTCCAAAAACCCACACTGTTCTTTGTAGAGCTGAAGAAGGACGCTCGGGAAAGTGAAACTCTCCACTTCTCTTTCTCTCTTTGTCATTGTCTGCTCTTGCCCATGTTCTCTTCTCTCTCATATATCTACTGCATGTCAGCTCCCCTCGCCCCTTCTTTGTGCAGGATTACACGTGCATTCCCTTATCTGTGCTTGTTTTAATGGCCCACCGTGCTGTTTACGGTTTGTCTCACAATGGCAGTGGCACGCAAAAGAAAGGCTATAGTTATCCCATCGGGCCACATGGCGCAGAAGAAGATTTCCTTGTGTAACATTTGGATTTAAATAAAGAAAACTGACCTTTCTCAATCACAGAATCAGAGTAGCAGCACAGTTCGCTCAAAAGATGTCCATGTTGACCCTCTGTATCGCAACTTCCTCATGCCCACCGACTACGAGTAAACGTCTCATACAGAGGTGAAGGGTTATAAATATCCACTGTATAGCAGCCAAACTGTTTAATGGCAGTTGAACTGCCATTAAACAGTTTGGCTCTTTGACTTATCTGTTGAACTTCTGCAAATTAATCAGACAGTGGGGGCACTTATACTCACAATGAAAATGGCCATTGTCTTAAGTAATTCCTGTTTAAGAAGGTAGGGATGAATGTAATTAAACTGGCCTATGCAAATGAAACATTTGTACTGGTTGATTTGAAGTAGATCTCAAATATAAGTTTGAAAAAACGATATTCTTTATAACAAACGCAAAATGAGAGAAAACAAATAAATCTACGAGTGCTATCTTGCTATTCGCCAAAAACCTAATGTGAAATGTCATTTTACGGATATCGAAATGGCGTAATCGCCAGCAGCTGATTATCAACACAAACTTTAGGGCCATGCAGAGCGATCCGCCCTCATGCTGGTTTGTTAATTAACAGTCGGGGAGTTCATTAACATTTGATGTCACTGGCTTCCACACTGGTTAAAGCCCGGGTGTTTCTTTTTTTTCTTCCTGAGTTCATATACTGTGCATGGACATCAAACAACTTGAGACCCAGAGCGCGATGTGGTGACATAGTTTCAGTATTTTATATATCCAGAGGAGCAGCATGGCCCTGGCGTGGTTGGAAACGGTCTGCACTGGGACTAGGATGGATGAGTTAAATGTAACCCTTAAAATAGGGGCTCTCCAATCAAGAACTAGGTCACAGTTGCTTTGCTTAGCTTTTCAGAACAGCAGCAGAAAATCCCGTTCCGTTTTGCATGGTTTTTATCCATTTGATGGCAACGACATGATTAACTCCTCTGTCCTCCCCATAAGTGGTATAAATGTATGTTGAAAGCATGTTCAGGATTCACTTCATTGAGCTGCTGTAAACCTCTCCATGTCTCTGTCTTGATAGACCGTATCTGAGAGTTGTGTTCAAGATATTGAACGTGTGAAGGGCCGTGCTGTCAGAGCTCGTCCTCTTATCCCTGGTACAAAGGAAATGCCAGAGAACAATGGACCAGAGGCGGAGTATAATTCCCTAATCTCAACAGTTAAACACTGAAATTCTGTTACTGGCTCGTTACCTAATGAAAAGCCTCCCGATTCCCTCCAGGAGGCTAGAGAGTGATCACTGGTAGTCACTCCCCTAATACCGGCCTTTACTGCTCCTCACACCGCGCCAGCTATCTCTGCTACTGCAAACAGCACTGGGAATCATTCTTCACTAAAAAAGGCCTATAAAAGATAAGAGTCCCTTTTGATAGTCATGTAATTCGCTAGACGTGATTATTATTGACAGATCGCTATAGATGCAATTAAGTGTCTGAAACAATTTAATCAAATCATCTTATTTCCTGATTCCTGCTACTCTTACAAAGCTGCTAGCTTTCCTGACCTTAAGATCCCGTTACACAATGACATAGGTGTACTAAAAAAAGGACTATAAAGCAAGCATGTCGCTACTTAAACAGACTCGGAATGGCTAAGCTAATTCCATGCGCTTGTATAAATTTAAACTAACTGAACAGAGGAGAGAAAAAATCCTCATGCATGCATGCTTGCGCACAAATACCTCAAGTGGTTCTTGGTTAGATAAGTATTCGTTCTGTCCCTTGTCACAGCATCTTTACCCTTGGTCTGAATTCATTATGTGACTTTTCTGTCCCTATGGATTTTTTACCCATGCTGTCTTGAGTGCAACAGTATCTCCTCAGCATCCTGCACATATGGATGCAGGCAGGAAGATGAAGCTATCAAGAGTAAGTGAAGGAGGCAGAGGGTGATAGAGGAGTTAGAAAAGGGGATGGGAGGGGGAGAAAGTGACAGGCTGTGACTGCTGGAGTCCTAATTTTGAGCTGGCCTACATCAGATTTAGCGACCTTGTGCTGATCAGTTGATGATGTCTTTGGCTGTGAGACTCTCTTTCCTCACCTTCCAGAAATGTGATCACTTCGGGACTGGCTGTAATGTCTCCGATTTGTTGGCCAATTTCCCCCATTATTCTCCTGATGTCTAAAAAATATATAGCACCGGGGGAAAGTCTCATTACCAGTTTCATCATGGAGATGTCTCCTATATTTCAGTCGGCCACACTGATGAAAAATGGAAGGACCTGGGAGATTTACTTTCATACTTTTGGCTACAAATTACATATATATTGTGTGTATTTTGGGGCGGCACTGTGGTGTGGTGGTTAGCACCATTGCCTCACAGCAAGAGCAAGAGGGGAAACTAGGACCTTTCGGGGTGGAGTCTGCATGTTCTCCCTGTGTCTACGTGGGTTCTCTCCAGGTTCTCCGGCTTCCTCCTACTGTCCAAAAACCTGCATGTTAGGTTGATTGGACATTCCAAATTGCCAGTTGGAGTGAGTGTGCATGGTTGTTGGTCCTTGATTGTCTCTGTGTGGCCCTGTGATGGACTGGGGACCTCACCCATTGACCACTGGGATAGGCTCCAGTTCCCCCCGTGACCCCAATTAGGGAATAAGTGGTCACAATAATGGATGGATTACGTGTATTTTCAAATAATTGATTTGATGGGTTGGCCTTGGGTTTTATCCCCCTGTCATCTCTTGTTTTTGACAACTCTACCACAAATACCTCCTCATGTTGTTGCACATATAGGTATAGAGAGCAAGGGCAATGGGCAATGGGCAAAAAGGCAAGTAGCCACACAGACAAAACAACCCCACCTCGTTTGGGCTTAAACTCATCAATCTAGAATTCTGAAAATAGCTGATCTACCCAAAGGTGGTTGTCAGGTTGATATGTTCGATGCGGACTTATTGGATGTAAGGACACAGTGATGCTAGACTGGTCCCCCTCTGTTGGGCGGGATGAGTTTATGAGGAGGAGCAGCTGCAAGTAAACAAGGGAATCTTATTTTCGAGACAATACAGGATTAATGTGTTGATGGAGGCAAACAACTAACTGGTCTGCTTAAAGTATAGCTGTTTTCTTTTCTTTAATCGAAATGTGTCACATGACTGAATGCCGTCACGCCTTTGCTCAAACAGTCAGTCAAGCTGGTAGCCTTCCTGACATCTGGCTTCTGTGACTCAGAAAGAGGAGCCCTGCACCTCATTAGCGCTTACAAAGCACAAGAAAAAAAAGGGATGTCCAAGAAACACATTCATAGAAATGCAGCAGAATCTGTCTCTGAATAAATAACGAAGAGTTTAGTTTGAAAATACTAGACAAGTGCATTGAGGGAAAATGCTGAAAACTAACAGATGAAAACAACAAAATATGGCATTGATTGAAAACATAAAACAAACAGACAAACAGCTCTTTAATTTGTCAGTCATGTGAGCAGCAACATCGCCTAACTCATCCCACCTTTTTCTATGGATTTTCTTGGTCTCTTAAATGCACCACAACAGTCCCTTTATAATCATTTCATGACATGTGATGGTATTGCATTCCTGTCAGAGCTTTTTTCTCTTTTTTCCCCGTTTTGTTTTCCATTATCACCGTGGGCACAAATCAATAGATTAAATTTCCATGACTGTTGCACAGTTTGCTGTCACAGTGGGTTGGTTAAGCACTCGCAGACAAGCCGCTGCTGTTTGTGTGCTCCACATGTTCCAGAGGAAGTTAAAAATTCATGCCTCTCCACAACACCAGTTTGCAACCCCGGCGGTTAATGAGATATTACTGCCCTCACTAGTCGCAACCGCGAACACGGCGAACTGAAATATTTAAGGTTTTGCCGTCAGTGCGAGACGCTAGCGAAGCGTTGGCTCTGAGATTTGAGCAAGGGACCTGCCGAAAGCCAGGGCGGCAGCTGTTACAGAGGCCAGCAGCGGCTCAACGTGTCCAATGAAATAACGCCGTGAACCGGCTTGACGATAGGAGACGGATTACATCTTGTAAAAGTAGATTGGCCTTAGCCTCATCAGTTAAATTCATCAGGTCACTTGCTCCCTTTCCTACCGGTAATTACGATGATGGACCAAGTCACCTTGTCACTTCCAAACCGGAATCCCCCTTCGTCACGAGATACACTATGTCTATGAAGAAGAAGAAGTCAAACACATCACCCGGTCTGGTGATGTAAATGTTAGGTCAAAACCCCTGATGTTCTTCCCTCCAGGCCTCCAACACACATGAACTTCGAACGCCACAGGAAAAAACTGAAGGAGTCCCAGCTGTAGGAATGGCTCTCGGAAACCCTTGGAAGGGAAAAGCGCTGACACTTCCGCTTGATGCGAATTTAGTGGGGGGAGTGGTAGAATGTTTGAGACCAGGCGTCACGCTTAAACCAGAAATGAGCTCTCAGATGGGGAGCTCTTGTTCTGTTTGTGAGCCTCTGGGGCCTTGTCTCATTACATGTCTTTAAATCCTGATTGCTGTTTCCTCCCTCTAAACATCCATCTCTGATTCCAATCCTGTTCCTTTGAGAAGTCTTTTGACTCTAATGCTTATTGCGTGTGCGTGTTTCATTCCTGCACTCGCATATCTGCATGTTCGCACTATAACCTGACCTGTTCCATGCAGACTTTCCTGAATCTCTGTGTGAAATAGACAGCACGGCACTGGATCATTTAATGTTCTGCAGTTATGGCTTCAATCCCAGCTTCCTCGCTCGCTCATTCAATCTTTTCAAAGCCTTCCAGCTCTCACTGTTTTTCCCTGACTCAGAGTTCTGCATGTGCCCAGTTCACATATTGTCTCCTTTTCGCTATGCCATTGTCATTACTCTTCCTCACCTTGTTAGTTGCAGTTGTCATTACCACTTCCATTTCATCTCCACCCCTCATCGCCTCTCCAGAAAGCAAACCAAAATGTGCGGCATTTGGAAACAATCAGACAGATGTTGACCTGGAACCTTTAACTGAAGTGCTGAAGTTTAGCACAATTGACTTTCAGAATATGAACTTGAAAGAAATACATCCTTACATCTTTTTTTTATTTATTATTATTCTTATTTTTGATAAATGTCTGTATAGAAGTCAGATTGGAGTA